TATTTAAAATAGGGTATGCAAAGCCAATCAACTATAAGCCACTTAGACATACAGTAATGCTGTATACAGCAAACTGTTTAACCCCTCTTAAACCAAGATGGGAGAGAATACTCATAGTATCTTGGAATATAATAGATATATAGTTTTCTCAGTCTCAGAGAGGGAGGCTGCTTAACATCTGGTTCGGAAAATGCAGATTCTGTACTTACTGTGCTCATTATGCTTTGCTAGTAATTAATATTACTATGGAGTCACCAGTTTTACCATAACAAGGTATCTGTAGCTGAAACTTTTATCCAGACTATTCTTGCTGACCTGTAGCGCCCTCTTGTGGCCAACACATTTCTTTGACCACTTTTCCACCTGAAAAAAATTTGAGAAACTCAGAGAAAAGAGGTGAGAGGGCAACATTCCTATGACACAGGCAACTACTGATAAAGAGCTTATCCGGGGTTCTTTCCTGCACCGGTCCCATGATTAGGAGGTCCACCCGGGGCATGTAATGGTAATTTGAAGTCACACGTCTTTGGGAGACTTGTTTTTGCTGACCAGGGGTCAGCACATGATGTGGTATGGCTTCTTTTACACAAATTTAGATGATAGCAACAAAATATATACCATGTAATATACGTTGCAAGTTAAATCTGCCATAATGTAAGTAAGTAAAATTTAAAGGCTTTAGATATGTATTATATATATTACTCTCATTGTCAGAAATATCTAACTGTACTGTTTTATCTACAGACATGAATAATATTTCTAATTCTATACACATCATGTTATAATATAGTCTATATAGTATAGTACATATGAAAATATGCACTATATTCAGGCAAGGGCTCACAAATCATCACTTGCGTAATTCAATTTGGTGGAGCCTTGTTATTTTTCCAATCTTTTTGAACTCCCACTGCACTCTGGGAAGTCCTATGTCACAGCATGGAGGTTCTAGATGAATACAACATCAGCCCTGTGCACTTTCTGTCACCCTCTCCCACTGACAGAGTGCAGAGTGAAGCCCATTAAACATTTACCAACTAACTGAGGTGGTCCCCCTCAGAAGATGAGTGAGAGAGCTCACAGGAGAGGGGCCAATCCAGTGGGACTCCTGGAGTTTCTAAAGGATGATTCATATTCAGAAACATGAGAAAGAGCAGTGATCATACATGGGCTGCACTAATCCTCCCTGTGTCCTGGGTGCTCTCTGCCTCACCTCATAGATATTTGTGTGTGCAGTGCTGTTCATTCTGACACATATGGAGACAAAGTAAATACACCCCCATTCAGTCTGGGGAAATTGTTGCATAACCAACTGATTTAAATTCAGTATACACATAAAGCTAGTATTTTAGAAGAGTTGCTGGTTGCTGTTATGAAACTTGGTGTTTTGCTAAATAACACATTATAACATATGTTAATTATGGAGTGACTTTGCAGTCCCAGTGGGGCCAGGACACATTACCTTACATCTCATCTCATCTGTCACAACTAATATTATTAGATTAGACTGCCTGTAACCATAGCTGCAATGCCAAGGGAAGTCTTATGCAGCAGCAACAAGATTATGTGTCACAGCCATTTTGGGCATGTCAACACAGGAGAACTGCCACTATGAGAGGAAATATCTCTGCTCTGTCTCTTTAATTTATACTATTTATTAAGCGCCAGTGATGCAAGCGTCCCCTGGGATCTAAGAGATATAGGCTACTACTTTTGATAAGATGCAAAGTTTGTTCACATGTTCTAAAGTTATCTTAAGTTAGCTGTAGGAATCACAGTGTATTGAATTCTCAGTGCTCACTTGCAACATGAGATATACACGCACTATAGGATTGCAAAAGGGTGGAAAATTCCTGGTAAATTTTCAGCAAATTGCCCATGGGAACATAAGCAATTTTATTATTTATATGGAAAAAAAAAGAATTATTTATAATGTATTTGAACAATGTATGGGTAATATAGCTACAGCTCAACCAAAATGAGTGCGGTATGTTCATGGCCGATGTCGGTATTCTAGAATTCTGAACAGCCATCCAAAACAAGCTCTGCCAATAGTTTTGACCGATATAAGACAGATATTTATCTTTTCCCACAAAATATATTGTTTGAAACTCCATTACCATCTATACTGTTGACTGCTCTGTATAATCAAAATAGAACCAATATATTGGTCTATCTCTAAATATAACCCCAATCATACAATAAATACAAAGAATCCCCCCTTTTTATCAATTAACCTTGTGAAATTATGCAAAGAATTGTTTTTGTGTTTTATGGCTACATTATCTTGTTTACGTTTGGCAGTGTTTCTGCACTTTGTCCAGTCTCAGTGACTTCAGTTGTAACCAGACTACTCCTGTTTAGATTCACTGTTTCACTTGGTTCTATGCTGGTTTTGTTTGACAGGTTACCATTTGTTTTATATGATCCTCACTTTGAGTTTTAATGCATTGCTTGTTGGCCTGGACTTCTTCCTCATCAAGCCCTAGAAGTCACATCGGGAGGTGACAGCTTTTTCGATGGTAAATGGTCACATTTTTCTATAGCACTCAAAGCGCTTTACAACAAGGAACCGCTCACCCATTCACACACACATTCACACACCAGTGTACGCAGACACTGTGGGCAAGGTGGATTAAGTGTCTTGCCCAAGGACACAACGGCAGCATTCATCTGTGGGAGCTGGAATCACACCAGCCAACCTGTGGGTCAGTGGATCTGACCACTCAACCTGTGATGTTTATGTTGAAAGCGGGATTCAAACTGCCAACCTTCAGATCAGTGGGCGAATGCTTTACCAACTGAGCTACTGCCGCCCCCCCGATGCTGTTACTCTTGACTGTGATTGTGAAATGTATGTATTTGTATAAATTCAGGATGTTATGTTACTATTCATCACATCTTGTTGAGATATAACCTTCATAAATGTAAATTAATCTGTTTGCCATTAATAGATAATATATAGACATTAATAACCATTAATGCCTCTATATTCCCATAAATTCCTGATGGAAACCTTCCAGCATTTTGTCCAAATTGAGTTAAGAACAAAAACACCTTCTTACGCTGATTTTATTGGTGACAACATTTTATGGCTCAACTCTATCTCATTTTTGAGAAATCTTAATGTGAAATTTCCAGTAACTACAGTTCTTCAGTAATTCAACAGAAAAATGCAGCATGGAATGCTGACATTGATGAATTCAAAGACAGGCGCTGCATTTTTCTTTTGTTTTACTGGAGAGTGTTTTTGACTGTAAAATGTCTCCACAAATATGTTGTCTCAGACCAAGTCATTTTTTGTACTTTCTTATATTCAGATGTCAAAGTGGCAATGGTTGTGATTGATAAATATTAACTCATCAAGGGGATAACACATAAACATTATTCATCAATGTGTACCTCTGACATATATAAGAAGGACTATATCAAAACTTTAAAGCCACAGAATAGCACACTGGCATCAATAGCTTGGCAGTTTGACTGCCACCATGTCTTGTATCATTTCATTTCTTCTATGGGACAAACTGAGGCAGAGTCGAAATATAGTGACAAGACATTTTAATTTTATAGATTCAAGATTCAACATTTTATTTTAATTGTTATAGTAAACAACAAACTTACATTTAGAGCAACAAACACTGCATAGTTTAGATGCATTAACAAAAGTGCAAGCACAACAATGACATTCAGTGCAGCACATATGTAATAAACAGTCATAGTCTAAGCAGCAGCATAAAGGTCATATCAGAAAAAATCACAGGGACATACAGTCAGATATGTGGAGTCTTTTTGTCATTAAGTAATTCATTAACTGTCTTTTATTTTTAACAGTGGGAGAACATGCAAACTCCACCAAATTAAAGATAATTAGCTGCCAATGACGCATAGACACATAAAATAAAACTCAGTGTTCACATGGGAACTGAGAGACAGTGCATAGCATTGTTTTATGATTTTGTTTATTCTATGTTTTTGTATGTCTCATCGACTGGAGATGGAAATTAGCTCTGAGGGCTATAGTCTACGTACAAAGCATCTCTTCACTGTTTGATTAATGGTCCTATACATGTCCCTGTAAAATAAACTAGAAGTGCTGTGATGAACTGATACACATTGTAAAAGTTGACAGTAATGAAATGAAGCTCTGTATTGTAACCATAACAACCATCAGACTGTTTTAGCATCAGATTTACGTGAAAATTACAGACACACTGTATTTTACCACAAGCAGTTTCTTTCAGCTTAGTATACTTCTTCAGTACTTAAAATGTAAAGGGCCACTATGTAATACTGAGGAAAATTACAAACTGTTGTGTTATAACAATCTTCTTCTCTCTCTGCCTTTTCTTTGTGTGTTCATGCCACAGTCTGAAGTCTATTTGCTTTATATCTCTGTCCACAGGCACACAGTGTGTGATTCTGTGAGTTTAGTAGGGAAAGAATAAAAAGTTTAATTTGTTTTGTTTCATTCACACATGTTTCACACACAAACTCTGCATGTTTAGGCGCTAGGAGTTCTTCTCTCACACAAAAACACTCTACTCTGCCTTGTGATAGAGCAATATAGGAAGCGCTCCATTGTGTTTTTAACCTCTGTACTCCTTCACTAGAAGTGTAAGTGGAACTGGATGACTTCAGTCCTGGAATTGGTAATCTCTACTGAACTAATGGTAAAAGGTAGCGGTTAACTGAAAACTACCACTATATGAAAATTTTTTTTGCACCAACAACTCATTTTTTATTATTATTATTTTTTTTCCTAAAAAACCCCAAAACAAAACAAAAAAACAGACTGTTGGATGACTGGAGGCGAAAGGACCAATGCAGAGCCCCTCGCCCCTGACACCCTGCTTGTCGTTCTCTCTCTCTGTGTCTCTCTCTCTCTCTCTCTCTCTCTCACAAGTCCAAGATTAGTGATAAATTTGTGACAAATCCCATTGCCCTGAGAACGCACAAAATGCACCACAGAAAGTCTCAAGCTGCCTAGTTCCGCTCACCTGCCTGCACCTGCTTGCACCTTTGCCTTGCGCAGCACCAGGTGCCTGGGCCTGGAAAGAAATAAGTTTCACTAGGCACTTTCAGCACCACTCCATGAGGTAAACACGAGCAAAGACAAAAAACATCTTTCTTAAAACTCAAACTCTGACCCCTTTACGCGATAGTGCAGCCCTTTGCCACATAAGCTCGACAGGAGAACATCAACAAGATACAACAGCACAACTAAAGTACAATAGAAAAACAGTGCCATATGCCTGTAGTGTGATCAGAGATGCATCAGTCTTACTTCTCAGATAACTCATAAAAGAGAACGCAAAAGTAAGTGATTTGTTTCAACTAAAGGATATACACACACAGCTGGGAGCAGGTGAGTGTCAAACCCTGGCCTCCCACACACTAACCCACAGCCTAATGCAGTAAGCTATTCTTCCACAGTTTTTTGGCCCTAAATTTTGGTATTTAGGTATCTGATAATTTCTTTTTTTTTTTTTTTTTTTTTGGTTGTTGGTGCAAAAAAAATCAATCCCTGCCAATCAGGGCTTCTGTACATTGGAGATGTAGCTAGCCCAATAATAAAGGGCTACTCAGACATGTGTGAATGACACAAAACATACTCTGGTAAATTACATATATTTATGTTTAAAAAATAAAAAAAAACCTAAAGAAGCCACTGTATGAGCAGCGAAATATCGTCACTGTAAAAATTCTGTCCAGTTGACTGAAATGAATTTTTCTTTTGCTATGGATTGTCCCTGGATGACTGAGGGATTGCATACACAAGTAAAAAAAAAAAAAAATTAAACTCACCAGAAAATGTAATACTCAAATAAAGTATAGATATCGAAAAATCTACTTAAATGTACAAAGTACAAAAAGTCCAGGTCATCCTCTGAAGTACTTCTTGTCTCCTCTGATCATTGCTGATCTTACCTACACATGCACACTACCTGAGGCATCCCACCTGCAACAGCTGAGGGATCTCACCTATTGTGTTTTGGGTTGATGGGGGACACTAGACTGCCCAGCGGAAGCATACCCAGACACATGAAAACATGCAAAATCTGCTCAATGCTACCCTCTCAGCAGCTGTGTATTCCTAAATAAACTCTTTATGAACAACTTCAGAAATATACACGATATACAGTGTCTTTATATAAATATAAATTTATACTTATCCTTTCAAGTTCTTCAAAGAATAGCACAGTGGTCTAGGGCGGGATTTCCTGAGTAGTTACCAATCACAGAGAGCTCAGTATCTCTGGTGGGTGCCGCCCCTAATGGCTAAAAGTGCTTCTCAAGCAAGCAGCATATCACATCCAGTAAGCAGAGGAGGGTACACACACTTAGAGGATTGTGTGTTTGGACTTTTGCATAAATCTAGTACATAGACCTGCTTCTATCTTAAACAGCGGCGTGCGTGCGTAGGGTACAGACTGTTGCAGTTTGCAACTGACTATCAGCTGTGGATAGCACACCTTTACAATGAAGTGGACAAGCATTATCTTATTTGTATCTGTCTGCTCCTTTTCTGCTTATTATGTTTATGAACCTCTGCCTGAACAGATGGAACAGAAATGGAAACTTATGCTCACCAACTCTTTCTTCAGAACTCTCAGCCATGTGGTAAGTCTTACACCCAGTAGTACTATACATATCAAAGGACACAGCATATTATGTTTATTATAGAGTAACAGCTAACCAAACGTGCCAGAATACTATGTGCATACTTGCGTCTTAAGTTTACAAACATGAAAGAGTTTTGCTGATGAGGTGGTGACAACAGATTATGTCAGACACTAATCCATCAGATGTATAGTCTTGTTCACTTGTGCTAATAATAGACCTAATACATCCGGATCTACTGATAGTTTTATGTGGAATGAATACTTCAAAAAACATTTAATTCATAATTTAACATTATCCAATTTGATTTCTACACAGTTATAGATTGTGGTAGTTCAGCTGGTTGTACTAGAAAAGTTTATATTGCTTTAAGCATACAGTATTTTGCTTCTATTATACAGTTTGTAATGTTTTAACACTAAAAGTTTGCTATGAAAATATCATTACAGCAAATATAGGTGAAGAGGGTGTAATTATGAATATAATTCATATTTGTCTCAATTGTTGTTTCTCTACAGGCAGACTTCAGTGAGTTAGTGGGGCTGCATCACTATATGGGCGTGATGTACCTCATTACTCTGATTGAGAATGTAGTTCCTGTGTCTGATGAACATGTTCGGGTCATAAAGGAGTCGTTTGAAGGAGTGGATGTACTTGTGTACCAACCACAGCAGAAAGCAGATAGCAGTGATCTCAGGAGAGCTGTGGTATACCTGCACGGTGGGGGCTGGTGTCTAGGCAGTCCTAGTGAGTCTTATTATCCATTTTTTTTAATCACATGTCTTCACTTCACTTCTTCACAGTTTGATGAAAATGTGGTAAATATTAACCCCTGTCTGTGTAGGAATGAGCCCATATGATCTCTTGGCCAGGAAGATTGTAAAGGAGCTAAATGCAGTTGTTCTTTCTGTAGAGTAAGTATTTTGTAATACATTACATAATACTATTGTAATAATTTATTATATTATTTTAATTATTTATTATTCTCATTTAAACAAATATACAGTTACAGGAATGACGCAATACTTAACAGTTATACAACGTGCTCCCATCAATCCATACCTACAATTTGTTTTACTTTGTAATCAGCCACTGTCTTTACCATCAATAACTGCCTATACGCAAAGATGTTGTAACTATATTCTGGAAAATACAGTATTCTGTCACAGTAACACAAATCCAAAGCATTCATCTAAAATTTTAAATATTTTCCAGTTATCGTCTTGCTCCTCCTCATCACTTCCCTGAACCGTATGAGGATGTGTACCGAGTGGTGAAACACTTCCTTCAGAAGGAGGTGCTGGCTCAATATTCTGTGCACCCTGGACGTATCGCTGTGTCTGGGGACAGTGCAGGGGGGAACCTGGCAGCTGCAGTCACTCAGCAGGTATTCAGTCACTTATTTTAACAACTATACCATTATGCAATGCGTGCACCTCTATCTTTACTGTACTCAACTATGTGTGATTTATTATAAAACAAGGTCTTATAACCCTCACACACTCAGTACCTATTTTTCTTACTTAAAGTAGTTCTTGAAATAAGTGTAAAAGTGGATAGCTTTCAGGTAGAGACGGGGAAGAACTAAGGGACAAAATATGTGCAGAAGAAAGTTCAAGTGTTCAGGCATAGATATATTAATTATGCTAAATCCTTCCCCCTAGATCAGCTACAAGCTAATATTGTAGGCATCAGACTAGGAGAGCATATGTACCATTTTCATTTATTTTTCACTGAGCCAAGCAGAGGGTCAACAGAAAGTGGAGGGGTGGAGTAAACAACATTGGCGAAGCAAAACAGTTTACACAGATAAAAATGATTTTTTATTGTTTTCACTATTTAAATGATAAAGTATGTTTACATTTACATTTTTTGTTAGACTTGAATCACAGTTGTTTGTTTCTTTACAGTTACTGAATGATCCAGAGCAACAAGTTTATTTCAAGGCCCAAGGTCTACTATACCCAGTGACACAGGCCCTGGACCTCAACACACCATCATACCAGCAGAATCAGGACATGCCTCTCCTGCCACGTACCCTCATGGTACGCTTTTGGAGCGAGTACTTTACCAGTGACAAAAAACTATTCAGTGCAATGATGGCTAACATGCATAACAGTCCTGAGTCTTCTACTCTGCTAAAGTTTGTCAACTGGAGTGCCTTCTTACCTGAAAGATACCATAAACAGTACAATTACAGTGCACCAGTGGTCATGCAGCCAGAGGGTGAGGCATTAGATGGACAATGGCGTTGGATTGGTGACCCCAGAGCATCGCCTCTGTTGGTTCCAGATTCAACTCTGCGTTCTCTTCCAAAGACCTATGTTCTGACCTGTGAGTATGACGTACTGCGAGATGATGGGATCATGTATGTCACACGACTGCGGGCAGCTGGGGTCGATGTAACGCATCATCACTATGAGACAGGATTCCATGGAGCAATGATGTTCACTGTGTGGCCAACTGACTTCCTGATAGCACACCTAATGACTGACAACTTTGTCAAATGGTTACAAGTGAGCTTGTAAAAACTGACAAAAAAGACAATATTTAAATGATTTCATTCCTCTTTTTATCTTGTATTTTACAAATGAACAAATGCTTTTGGAAGCTGGTGCGATGTGTGTGAAGAATGCTCATGTATAGACCATTGTGATTCAAAATTACTGTACATTTTTGAAAAGCAAAAGAGGAAACACAGTGTTTGACACTTGACATTTGAATGTAAAAATGTGTTTATTGAAAAAACACCTGATGCAAAAAACAACAGCCATTTATACTTTTGTTTCTTTCCTGGGTCCATTGCTGACTTTCACACACTAAGGTAACATAACCTTGACAAACTGTCTAGTTGATAAATGCACTGAACTTCTTGTGGGAGTGTTGCTTTTTGCACAGATACTTTCTATAGATAAATACATATAATATATTTCACTTTGTGTCATGTTAATCATTGTTCAACTGTAACTGCTTATTTTCATGAAAAGAAAAAAAATATAACTGAAACATTTCTTATATTCTTTATTTAATTTGATTGTGTTTATTGTCAGAAGAGGAACGTGCACACAGGAAAAAAAAATATCCTGGCTCAAAGGGATATATAGAAGTTCAAGGAATTTATGGAGGGGGCTACTGGGTAGGCTACAAGCAGCAGACTTCATAATAGTGACAGCTGTCTATAGATGTGGTACAGTTACATTCCTACATTCCTGTAATCCATAAATCATTATTCATTTGTTAGTGTTAGTGTACGGCATTTAAGTATGCAATGATAATGTAATTCAATGTAATTCAATGATATATATATATATATATATATATATATATATATATATATATATATATATATATATATATATATATATATATATATATATATATATATATATATATATGTGTGTGTGTGTGTGTGTGTGTGTGTGTGTATATACTCGTATACAAGAATACGGTACATAAAAACAATCCATGTTGTCCTGAAAAAGCCTGGCCAGCCAGACAATTTTCTTCCTGAATGAAATTCAGTCTGGCACGGAGTGTCCTTACCAAACAAACCAAGTATAGCGGGGTATTTGCAGCACAGCACATTCACCATCTGAATTACTTCAATCAGTATATTCAAAATGACAGCCGAATAGGATCAATCTCATGCTATGTATTGCTGTGCTTGATGGACAAGACCATGGCAACTGACTTTTCTAAAAGCTTTTTTCTCCCCCTCTCCCCACGGTACTGAATTTATAGGTAATCTACCTGCTGTCTCCACCTGTCACATACATCTACTCTGCACGTGTAAATCCCATCTTGGAATGGTATTCAAGGCAAGCAGTACCTTACTGAACTTCTTTGTGGAATACCCATGAACTATGGGAATACCATAAGAGAACTGTTCTGGTTGGCTGGAAAGAGAAGCTTTGCACATGTACATGTAACAGTGCAAACTATGGTGGTGAGGTCATATCTAAATCCTCGCGTGTTAAGCATAATAACAGTAACGTGAAATGGATTATATAATATTTCAAACGGTTCAAATTCTACTTATTCATTGTAAAGCAGCCCAGAGCATGTTCTATGATGACATAACTGGATATTCCTTCAGTCAAATACCAGTTCGGCTATACATTTGCCCCTCTTCATCATTGTACTACAAAATACTCTTTCTTTGCAGATGTCCTCGCATGTACCTTTTAACATTTTTTTTTCTCTCCCGCTTTTCTTGGTGAAACTCACACTGAGAGGACTGACTAGTATTTCATTTGTTTTTCTGACTCTTTCCAGGAAACACGCCAGTATAAATGAACTGGCACAGTGCTGCCTTATGACTGAGAGAAAGCACCTGGTCAAGTCTGTTGTGCTAACTCCCTGTGAGTCTAAGTACATGAAAGTGTAACCACAGCTCACTTAGAGAGGCTACTGACTTTAACTCTACTTAGAAGAACAACATTATCTAAGCTTACACAGACTACTTATGGACACTGTAAGCCAGAGAAAGAACATGCATTCTGTCACTGCCTTATGCTTCTTAATGAAACAAAAATGGCAATTATATTTCAGGATCACAATTTGGGACTGATGTTTTATTACCCATTTACAGACCATGTTTAATGTTTGACTAGATGTTTTTGCCTGTTCTGTGCAGAAAAAAAAACCTAATTCATACCTAAAGACAAACAGTGTTTATTATGCATAATATGACAACACAACTTTGAAATAATTGACTTTTGCTTTAAGTTGGTTCTTGTTGCTGTTCGGTCTTTGTCAGCAGTAGCCTGAACTTTGTGAACAGCAGGTCTCTGAATTTATCCCCCATCAAAAAGTAGAAGATGGGGTTTATTACACTGTGTAAAAAGGCCAAAGGTCGTGTTATGATGTACATTGCTTCAATGTACATTTTGTTACAGAGCTCCAGGTTTGCCCAGGGCTTTTGAGAGGCGATCCTGACATTCCTCATCACATGGTAAGGAGTGTAGAGTACTAGAAAGATCACTGTAGCAGAAGTAGAAACTTTAAGAGGCCGTTTGTAAGAAGTGTTCCTGTTTGGTAGTATCCTGTCTTGTAAACGAAGTAGAAATGAAATCTTGTAAGAGAATATGCAAAGTCCAATTAAAGGCAAAAGATATCCAAACAAGGTCAGCCCCAGACTATATCCTAAATTATCAATATCTCCTTTCAGACTGGCAAAGTCTTTGCAGTGGCTGGAATTCCTGCTCTGTAGATCCTGGACCATCAGGTCAATCATAGGTGCCACTTCAGCATTGACAATGAGCCAGCTCAGTCCGGTCAACATGAGGGCTGCACGTGGCTTCAGGAGAATATGATTACAACTTGGATGTTTTATCAATAGGAAGCGATCCATGCTCACCCACACCATAAAGAGAATAGATGAATAGAGGTTGACATGCAGGACATAGCGGTTAATTACACAAGCGTAAGGACTGGTTTCTGATTGGTCATGTGAGTAGAGGTATGTGAGGTGTGGGAATGTACACAGGAAAATAAGATCAGAAACTGCCATGTTGAACAGGTAAATGTTGCAACTTTTCCATTTGGGCAAACAAAAGATGTATCCAAGTATGACTAGTAAATTTCCTGAAAAACCTATACAAAACTCAACAGCGTAAAATGGAGACAGGTAATACTTCTCAAGCATGTCATCTATCCGTTTACAGTCGAACATCTGGAAAGGAGGAGACAAAATGACACATTTTGAACAATGACATTTACAACCTAAGTAATAGAATAAGACTTACCCTGTGAGGAGCCACTGGTGAATGGTGTGTGCTTGGTCAAAGCAGGTACTGCCACTATCTGTACAGGGAAAACAGTAAACACTGTAGGTTGTGGGTCTGATGTCTCAACACAACAGGCCGGAAAGTCTCTCAGAATAACTCCACTCAGCAGCTGTCCGAAACAAGGAACATTTCTCTAGGTAATGATGAAGTTATTATCTTTAGTTAATTTGTAACATTCATATGGAACTGTTTATTCACTTATTGATTCATTGTGCATGTTTTTGCATAAAACTAATAAAAGATAATTTGCATATATCACAAATTGTTTGTGAAGTAAATACATTGGCATTGATGAATCAATAACAACAGATTAAGTCTTGGATTTTGCTTTAATTCCTATGCACAGTTATAAAACACCCATCAAACTGTGCAACTTTATACACTTATCCTTGGTTTCATGCTAACAATCCAATAAAGTTTGTATTGCCACTGAGAGACTGTGACATTTAATTTACCCTCAAATATGTGTGAGAAGAGTGAAGAGAGACATTTTCGTTTGCGTGTAATGAAAATGCTGTCCCAGTGGTGTGGATGTGTGATGATACACAGTCTTGATCTTTGAAACATGAGGCTCTGCTGGTGAGTTCCTGCTGGTTGCATAACTTATCTGGTTGATGTTAATTCTAATGGAGAGTTTACTGTATATTTTGGCAACACGACCCATCATGTTGTTCTGTCTTTAGAGAGCACATGATCTGCTGCTGAGAAACATGTGAGACAAAGTCAGGATGAAGTCTTTTTTACCTTGCCCCGCAGAGAAAAGCTGTGATGTAATAGATAATAGTATGTCCTTAAGAAACCCAGGCAGTACTGATAGTGGTTTGTTTTGTTTTATTACTATGGGATCAAGAGTAATCTGTTAACATTCCTGCTCAGTGCAGCTCTTGTGTGTGTTTGGACATGAAGATAATTGGATAACTTGTTTGTTTTATTGTTACTTGTTGCCATTATAAAAGGCAAATGTATATCATACTATCTACATTACTAGTATTATGTAGATAGTTTTATTGATATATCTAAGTAATTGTTCTAACCTGGCGAATGCAAGCTGCATCATTGTTTTAAAGACATTACTGTTATTTTTCTAGCCTATTATGTTTATTTACCCAAGTGTTTACAGTCATGTACTAAGAAATGCATGAGTCCAGTAAGCTTTTATATATAAAGGAATATTGTAATTCCTCTCTAGATGTACATGATTGTCCTCTAGTGGTAGAATGATGCAGCACATATTAACTTTATTTACCTTTTAATTTATTTCCTCCATGACCTCATCCATTGACAGGCTATGTTACACACTGTGTATACACAGTTCATGGATCACTGTATAATACTGTAAACCAGTAAATTCTGTGGTTCAAATCAATGAACTCCTGGCTCAAAAGAATCAGTAAACTTGATTAATTTCAGGACCCCCTTGAAAACAAGATGGTACATCTCAAGGGATTAATTTTCTTCATAAACAGCTGTGAATGTTTTTATTCTAATTTATTCCAATGGTAGACACTGTAGTGTCAGCATTTAATGTTTAACCATATACTTTGATTGATGTGAAATGTGATGAAATTAAATCACTGTATGCAGTATCACTGTATCACTGTACAGTAGCATAAAATACTCATAACACTAATACTAAATATGATGCTAAGAACATATTTTCAGTGGTTTGTGAAATACAGTATGTCACCAAAGAGCTTTGAAACATGCAACAAAAAAGCCTGTACAGTAGAGGGCAGTATATTTCCACATTACAACATTATGAAAGTTCCACAAGTGGCCTTAAAATGAAATCCAGTAGATGTGGATCTACAGATTTTTTTTTCTTTTCTTTGAACTATTTGATGAAACTTATAATCCTTTTTACCAAAACCAGTTCACTCAAATTTCATTCATTTAAACCAATTTGTAGAACCACATTCTTGTTAAATGTGTTGCTTTGATCACTGCAACGTGTGTCCTTCCCGACAGGCCCCATAGCTTACATTGTCCCAGTTTGAGAAGGTGACACACTTACAGATTTATCACTTAACCCTGCTCTAATTATCAACATGGTTCACTTATAACAGTTAGTTAATTGGTGCAAAACCAGTGCAGTGTTGCTATCCTATAATCATATCTTTGAGCAATAAGAGGAAGCTAGAGTACAGGGTAAAGAAATGGCATGTAAAATAAAACAATTAATTCAAGGTGTTTTTCATTAAGATTATGCAGTGAGTGACTGACTTTTAATTTGAGCTTTTGAGTTATGGTTTTAACTTTTTGCCTACAATGTCCACATAATATTACAAAAAGGAATTCAAGTCTACCATATTTACATGAAGTTAAAACCAGAGATAAAACAGCAAGGTCCAATTTGTATTGTCCGCCTACACATACACACACATACAGTATACACACATGCCCATACATATTCAGCAATACATTAGCCTTAAGGATATGTCCATGTTTCCTGACGATTACTACCTAATTTTGCCATTTTATCTCAAAAAGAAGTGAGAACAAAAATAACCTATACACAACCACCCCTGTATCAACCCAGATGCATACTTGTCACCATAATTACTATATCGACTTATCATTCAATATTTACCGTGTGCACATTTTCATTGCAATAAGGAAGAGATTTTTGTTATTTTTGTTTATTTTAGAATAATATTTGAGCTGTAGAGGGTTGAATAAATAATATCTTTAAATAATTATTGGTTAATTCTGCTATTTATTTGTTGCAACTCATGCTTTTAAATGATACTCTGTATTTAAAAATGGTTTACTGGGATTATCCTGCTTTATTGCTTTTGTGTCAATGGCATAAAGTAGCTAAAATATGATCATTTTTTGTTATATTTCTCTGTAGCAGTATATTGTGCTTCAAAATTTGTTATTGTGACAGGCTTATTCTAAACATAATTTGAGTACATTTTTATAACACTGATGGAAAATAGTCGTATCTTTTGTCAGACCTCTCTCTCTCTCTCATACTTGCCTATTAGATCTTGATATCATCGACTTCCTGTCTCTCTAGGATCTTCTCCGCTTTCCTCCACTGTGTAATGCTATAGTCTTGTTTTACACATGCTGCTCTATGCTGCGTCAGGCTTTCTCAGCGTTACTGATATGATTGCCTCTTCTGCCTACTGGGACAAATAAATTCAAAACCACCATCAGGTCAGCTAACCGTCAACTAATCGCTACGCTAGTCACTAAAGGCTTTGCAGAGCTTGGACTTCCTGGCCTCTGCAATATGTATGGTTGCTGTGCGGCTGCTCTCACTTCAGCTTTTCAGAGCCAGCCCTCAAGGTCAGTGGGGCACGAGGATGTCAAGTCATGGCTTTGTTTGCACGGTTTACACACCCAACATACACACTCTGGCCAAGTTATAGCATGCCCCCTTGCCCTTCAAGCCTGTAAAGAACATTCATAGGATTTTAAAATGACTTGCAAAAATATTTCCTTAAGAAAACAGAAATAAAAGAAAGGCATCCATAAGTTAAAGGTGCACTATGTAACTTTTCTGATGGAGCGTCTGCCACCTGCTTGTTTCCATGGAGATGTTATAGCTTTTCTGTTCCAAATTACTGCACGAAATGTATCTATCTACATGAGACGCCACCTGGCCAGATAGTCAGATGGTAATAGTGCATGTTTTTCAAGGTATTTCTTAGCAGCATAAACACTTGTAACTGTATGATTGTAAGATAGATAAGTTTAACTGTGGAACATCCAGGCAAAACAATGACATCTCTATTAAAGTTACACAGAGTATGTCTTTTGTAACTCTTTTCTGTTTTTCAAGTTCATAGAATTATTTCAGAGTTTTTAGGTAAACACACTGCCTTTTCTTAAACAGTAGCTTAATACTGTGCAGTTTTCACAAGTGAAGTTATTTTCCACATGAAATTGGCAGCTGTGGCTCAGAGGTTAACAGCTAACAGCAACATCTGTGTGTCATTTGCCTGTTGCGTCCTTGTCAGTTGCTCCAAATTGCTGTCGTGCATTTGAGCAGGTGGCAGTTTTCTGTGGAAGAATTGTTTTCCAAGCACGTGCACACACATACACAACCACGCACACACACGCACATGCACACGCACACAGACTTGCATGCACCTAGGGCCCTTTCAAATCTTCATGTTCCATTACCAGCTTCACCAGGTTTTACAGATGTGAACATTTCTAAACAGGAGTGGAAATAATAGGGCTTCTGTTCTTGGCTTTGACTTGATGCCATAATAGGAGTCCTGCTGAAGAACTTGGACTAATACACATAGGCATACACTACAAACTGTTTACTTGGCCAGTCAGAACCACAAGTTTGACAAAACTTTACAAAGACGAGGGGGTCTGTATCCTGCGGCCCCCGATTTCAGAGGGTGTGATTGACAGGCAGATTAACCAATCAGAGAGACACATACTGAGTTTGTGTTAAAAACAAACATGGCTAATTACATGTATAAAAAGAGATAAGCAATTTAAAGGCCTGATAAACAGCATGGATTTTCTCAGGATCAACATTCAAAGCAACAAACTATTACTTATCTCAGGTAAAAGAAGTGATATATTTTGTTCTGAATGAATGAGAATTTTCAAGAGGATATGTCTTCCGCATTTGAGAGACACATACTACAATTTAGCAGTTGTGGTTGGATCATCTCAAGTTTGGATGGAGGTTTTTCACACTCTATGGTCCAATTCCAGACCCTTCTAGATTCGAACAGAATGTAGAAGGGACTGGCTGATCAGGCAAACAAACTGCAATGTACTCTTTGATAAATAATATATATAATTTTATCCAAACCACCAATTACTTCAACAATTGCGGTTTGAACCCCGCTCTCAACACAAACATGAGTGGTAGAGCTGTCAGATCCGATGACCCACAGTTTGGCAG